CTACAGCACGTGTGCAAATTGCTTAGGGCTGGTTAAGGTGTCTACACCCAGGCTGAGAAATACCTGAGGGAGCATTAAGTCCATTTAAGCTGCTTCTTCTCCTCCTTTTTTCTTTTTGTTGAAGTACTGCTGACTGTGGTTTACGTTTGCTGCCTTTTAATTTTATACCAAAATAAAGCAGAATGGGGATTACAAGGCCATTTTCTTGCTTTACAGTGCTGTTCTCCCTCTGGATTTCCCCACCCTTGATCTGGATGAGGCCTGAGGTGGCTCCAGGAGCAGTGAGCTTACCGAGAAGGTGTAGAGCTGCTGGACTTCCCTGTCCACAGGCTGCAGCAGGGTGAGGTAGCGGGTGATGCCACTGGGAGTCACAGTGAAAAACGTGTTGTAATCGTTCAGAAAGAGATGAAGCTGGGGATCCTTGGTCTTGAACAATATTTTAAGAAGAGCATTTTATTATAAATTCATAGATACCAATACATTTCCAATTACTCAATGCAAGTGCTTGTTTTAGTTGAAACCTAAATAAGCAGAAAGTAAAAATACTGTGACTAAGTGAATCTACAATATTTTAAAAAAAAATCCAAAACTGTAAAAAGTAACACTGCTGAGCTAAAAATCTAATTTTCCTGATGGAGAATGTATTAAAACTCCACTTTAACCTATGGAGTAAGTAAACCCAATGGTAAATAAATACCTGTCTCTCTTAATTTTAGACGTTGCTTTTTTTCCTTAGAAAAAGAATTTTTAAGCCAAATGTAAAGCAACAACATAAGGCACAAGACTCAAGCATTTGCCTTTAATCATATTAAAAACTAAACAAAACCTAACTTGATGAATAGAGCAATAAAACACTTGGGCTGATGCAATGAAACGAGATAATCCTATGTGTTGAAGCTTATCACTGAATGGATGCTGCTCATAGATCCTCTTTATGTCTTGAATAGAATAAAAATTTATTGATGCAGATTTATGAATCTCAGTTGATTGTGAGTAAACCACAGTAAATCAACTGTGGTTTAACTTTAAATAGGAAGTAACATTTTAAGGTAAAGAGAAGAGAAAAAAATGAAACAGAACAAGCAAGTCAAGGCATTGTAAACTGGTTCCTGCTGGCTTCCAAAGGCTAGGAATGCAGGCTCCAGGTGAGGATGGCTCCATGGACAACTGGGCAAGCACCAGGAGTGGTGCAGCAGTTCCAATGCTGTGTGCAAAACCATGTTGCAGCGTGAGAGATCCTGAGCAACCAGCACGGACTCAGCCTTCCCCTTCCATCCTGCCTCCTGGCATGGCTGGCAGATTTAAACAGCATGGGGAAGAAGAATGAAACGTCTGCTGGGGAAAATGAATTTTGGGACAAACAAAATCTCAGCTAACAGAAAGGGGAGGAATGATCCTGCCCCAGACAGAACGAGAAGTTATGACTGTATTCACAGGGAATAGAGCAGATTAATTAAAAGTCCAGAACCTCAAGCCAGTCCCTTCCAGTGTGAAGCTATCTGATGGATCCAAAGCTGCAAAATGGGCTTCCCAGCTTGGTCCTTCCCCTGCAGTCTGCTGGATGCCAGGACAGGCAAAAAGGGTGTTTAAGCTTCCTATGCCCTGGTGGTTCTGAAAAGACTTCTGGGATGTCCATGTTGTTGAAGTGACAGAAATGTAAATCTTGACCAGGATGAAAGATCTCAGAAATACCTTCTCCCATGTCTTTAAAGATGCTATTGAGTTATTAAAGTGATTATACTGCAAGGGTATATACTTGCAGTAATACTCTATACTGAAGTTAAGTTTTAAAATAAATTACATTATCTTTTATTGCCTACAGTATCCCAAATAACACATCTGTGTCCTTGTATGTAATCTGATTAATTTAACCTGACTTAATGTGCTGCTCTGGGACATAAGTTATCCAGTTTATTTCTGCTCTATGAAGTGAGATTATAGAGGAAGAAGGCAAACGGGAGCAGGCAAAATACAAAAGGCTGGGAGATGAGTCCTATAAAAAGTGTTTCAAACTGCTCAAAATAATGTGGAGATGAGGAATCAGGGGACCACTACCATGAATAACATCTAACACACAATTCAGTGGCTGCACAAGACATAACTTTAAATTATTTTTACTGGCTACCTTTCAACATAATTCTACAGAAGCTGCCCCATGCAGAGCAGGACAGGCAACAGGCATAAATGGCTGAATTCAATACATTATCCAAAAAGTAGAAGCATAGAATGGTGAAGCTTGGAAAGGACCTTCAAGATCATCAGGGTCCAAGCTCTCTGCTATGAGCAGGGACTGCTCCCACCAGACCAGGCTGCACAAGCCCCATCCAACCTGGCCTTCAACACCTCCAGGGATGGGGCAGCCACAGCTTCTCTGAGCAACCTATTCCATTGCCTCACTATCCTCATAGTGAAGAATTTATTCATTATGTCTAACTTAATCTCTCCTTTTTCAGTTTAAAACCACTACCCCTTGTCCTCTCACTGCTCTCTCTGGTGAAAAGCCCCTCCCCAGCTTTCCTGGAGCCCCTTCAGGCACTGGATTAGCACGATGATGTCTGTCCCTGAACGTTTTCTCAATCTGAACCTAAAATGCTTCTAGAAGGTTAACTTCTGCCCTGTCACTGTCATCCCTATGTTGTTTAAAAAAAGAAAACAGACCTCTGGAAAGTTCCCCCAACCCCTCCAGGATAGCAGGCAGGAGCACTGGAGCGAACTCCAACATGCACTGAGAGTCAGAATGAACAACCACAAGGACAGACCAGCACAACAGGAGGAGAAGGAAAAACCTATACAGTGATTTGGGTTGGAAGGGACCTTAAGGATCATCTCCTTGCAACCCCCCTGCACGGGTAGGGACACAATTTCAGCAATCCAAAATACTCTAAAGCACAGGTTTTGGAAGGCTAAGATGATACTATTTAAATGAGGAAGCATTTCAGTTGCTGAAAGCTCCATGAAAGAAATACCAGAGTGTTTCAAATGAGTGGTTTCCTGTTGCCTAAAGCTTTGCTGCAACTATGCCAGCTTTCAGCAAAATTAAAATTCATTTTATAGCTATGCAAATGGAAAGCCCTTTTTTCGTGAAAAATTACAGAAGGTAATTGCCAATAATTGTTCACTTTGTAGACAACATAAAATCAGTCAAAAATTTAATTTACAAAAACCCCGGTTAGTTGTCACAGTTCTTGCTTGTCATGTTGTTCTGAACACTAATAAAACATTATTTTTTTCCCCCTTAATTTGTTCTTGAGAGAAACCACCAGTGATGGAGATTCCAAAGTCATCTGTCCTATTCCTCAGCTATTCTTGTATTAGAGACTTTTTCCTCACATGTGAGCTAAACCAGTGCCTACTTCTACTGCCTTCCATGCATGTCAGACCTCTAAAGAAACTGGTTTTCTTCATCTTGGCACTGCTATGCTTCTAAATTTTTATCACATTTTATGCTGAAAAGAAGGTCTGCTCAACTTAACTGTGAACATTTTATGTGGCAGACAGTGTGAGAGAATACAATTGTGGGGAAAAAATCCACCTATGTTGCCAAAATTCTTTTCAACGTTTGGATTTTTTAAAACTTTTTAATTTGGGGACTGGATTTAAGAGTTGTGATTTCTGACTGCATTACTGAGTTGTGTAACTTGCCTCTACAAATTTTTTAGCATGTCATTTTAAGTAGAAAACCATCAGAATTCACACAAAAGAGTGTACATGCAACCTGCAAGGACCATTTCAAGCACGTAGTTCAAACCTGATATAGTTGCATACTTCCAGCTGACTAGTAGGTACTCTTTAAATTAAAAAAGAGACCTTTTGTAATAATTAATATTTCTATTACATAGAAATATTATTAATAGACATATTATTATTTAATGAACATAAAGCAATCACAGAGTAACCATGGTACCACTTCATGCCCTAAATGAATTTGGTCCAATGTGTTTAAAGGGCTCTTTGCAGGCTTCACAAAACAAGTGACAGTCCCAGACTCAGAGGAACAACAACAGGGCAGAGAAAAATGGAGCATGACAGAAGGAAACAAATAAACCACACAATCCAAACAACAAGTCATTTTGCAACCATAATACCCAATACCTACTGGAAAGGCACCTGGTGCAACCTACAAAGAAAACCATGTGATACAAAATGAATACAAGAAAAGCAACACAACCCTGATACTGCTGGACACCATCAAAGCAGTACACTTGGGGAAAAATTGGTTACAGACAAAAACACAATCAAATGAGACACAGAAAGTGCTCCAATGATCCCCTAATAAACAAAGCTTGGGTTTGACTTTATTCTGCTTGAAAACCTCTGGAGAAGTTCCTAAAAATCTGAAAGACTGTGTGGATGTTTAACACTATGCTCCTGCCCTCCTAGAAGGGCTTACAGCTCTTTCTAAAGCCAAGGGTTTTCTACAATTTCCTTAAATTACACCAAAATTACATGCTGTTCTCCAGAATTAGCAGACAATGACACATACGCTGTATGTGTTTCACCATCCCCCAAGACTTTTTATAGGGAATGTGTTTGGCTGATAAATTCTCCAGGGTAGCCAGAACAAGCTTCAAGAGCATAAGAACTGTTTGTTCTTCCCAATTGCTAGCACAGGCTTGTCTCAAAAAACTTGTATTAATAACTAAGAAAATTTACTGACACATCTTGCTTTTCTGACATTCTTCAAGTGGAGGATGATCCTCACTAAAACTCCTGTGGAGGAGAGTTTTGTTGAAGAGATGTTTTCAGCATTTGGCCTCCTTATTTCTAGGTGAGGCAGAAAATATTTTCCACTCATGTCCTTCTTTGAAGAAAAAATCTGAGATTTCCAGTTTTTACTTCTTTATTCTTTCAATCCCCACCAAAACCTCTGCAGTCCCTGCCTAAAGCCAGGGCTGAGGCACAAGCGTGACCATAATAAAGTCAGGAGTTAAAAAGCACTGGACACTTACTAGGCTTTGTCCATCCAAGGTACAAATGATTGAAAACCCAACAGAACAGCTTTGAAAAAAGCATTTTCGGTTCGTCATAAAAATGAGCCACACGTGGGAGAGGGCAGGAAAGAAATGTCAGCATCTTCAGTGCTTCCACTAATTAGCAACTGCTTTTGTTTTAAACAGAAAACAAATTCCTTGAGGGCTCCAAAGAACTCAAAGAGAGAAAGAATAGCTTCAGGAGGCAGAAAACATTAGATATTCATGCCACACAAATAAAGGAAAAAATACAATGATTCAATGTTAAGATTGTTGGTTTTCCTTATGAAGCAGAAAGATTCAGAGAAGAAAAGCCCTGTTTTTATAAATCCTAATAGAAGAGATGCAGACTTTTAGCTTTGCCTTTCACTTCTGTTTGTTTTAATAATGATATTAATGGGCTGGTACATTTTGAAAGCATATTTCCTCAATTATTATTTGGTAATGTGACTATTAGAGTGTCACAGAAGTGCTATACAGGGACAGCAGCATTATGAGAACTCTTCTCTTGAGAGAACATTGTCTGCAAAACAAGTAGCAGTGAAAGATGTAGGCAATCAAGCAAATACTAGAGAAAAACACTTCAGTATTTAAAATGCTTCAGTACTTCAAGATTAAAAAAAATCCATAACTTTTCCTTATCTGAATAATATAATTGGAAATACATACCCTGCATTTGTAGTTACATTTTAAAGTTATTTTATCCATTCTTTGCTCTGACCTCTTGGGTTGCTGCAGGGACACCTTTATGTAAAACAATAATTCTTTGAAGTTTCCCACAAGGTCTCTGGAAGCACTTTACAGACAATGGAAGCAGAAACCAAGAAATGGTCTGGTTGAAAAGGATCTGGAGAGGAATCTATGGAAACAGCTGGCCTGCATCATGTTCCACTGCCCAGGGGGCTGCATCCTGTAGGCATTTGCAGAAACATCAGCCTTCCTGCACAGGTGCTTTTCCAATGCCTGCTGGGACACATTCAGTGCTTTTGAGCACTGTGCTGGCACACCTCACAAACATGACATCCATTTTGTGTGCTAATGAGCGAGGCACAAGTGACCTTACACCCTGAGTCTATCCATCAAGACACGGCGTGTGGTGTCAGTAAACACCTTGGGAGCCAAGTAGCACGGAATGGGTGGGAATGCTGATCAGCTGCTTCCAAGTTGGAGCGCAAATTCTGGCCTTCATTTCTCTCTCTTTTTAAGAGGGATTCAACAGTGTTTGCCATACAAGGCAGTGAAGTGGTTACTGTGTAGCTTCTTCACCAACCCTAATCCTCAGAGCTGAAGAAATTAGTGCTCTGGCAGGGCAGCAAAGAGCAGGGAAGGGAGTGGCTCGGGAAGCTGTGTGTAAACAGCACTCACATCACACTGTTCAAATTCCTCATCTCAGCTTTGGTTTACTCAAGTCTTTAGGTACTCGTGTGGCTTAATTTAATTTATGCCATTTAAACAAACCACTTAATTATGTCAGCGCTTGGCAGTGCTGCTCTAGTTAAAGGTCTGTTTGCAAAGTCACATCTATAAATTCATTTTTGGAAGGCTTATAACAGGACCCTATTATAATTCTCACAAGGTTTAAATTTAGAATATGTTTTGGTTTTTTCTTGAGGTTTGCAGTTAAGATGACCACTTTTTCTTCATGAATTTATCTGAGGACAGGGAGTTATTTTAATATGAAATATGAGTATAATCTCCACTGATTTGTCATTTAGAAGACTGAATACATTAAGTTTAGCCATTGTTGGTATGGGAAACTAATATGCACAAGCACCTAGAGAATCAGTGTCACCTTCTCATCAGCCATCCCTACTTCCTAAACTCATTTACCAAGATACAATGAAGCCATCAGAACATTAACACCGACAGAAATTAATAAGCATTACCAGTGCATACTAATGCACCTTAAGCTAACACCTAGGTCTCAAAATCAAGCCTTTCTGCCACATCATTTCCCATTCTAGAAACCCTTGGCAGTTACTCCCAACACAAACATTACCCCTTTTAAATAATAAACAAAAATAATTCACAGAAAAACTTTTGGCTTTCACTTTGTATCATGTGACTGAACTAGATTTTCACTAACATAACCAAACTCATGTTATCCATTACTCAATGACAATAAGAAAAAAGATGGAAAACAACCACATGAAATAGGAAATATTTTTGCCTTTGAATGGCAATGCCCTGTGACTATGCAATTTCAGGTCTTTTTTAACAACCTCCAATCAGCTGCATAAACCAACTTGTGTTCAAGAATGACAACATTGTTTTTTATAGTCTTTGGGTACAGATAATTTAAGTTGCATTAGTGCTCTCAACTCAAATATCCGCTGTAGATTGGTCAGGTTTTTTATTATTAGTGATGCAATTAAATCGACAAACATTTGGGCCACACCTATGTTGAAAATCCTAGTGCAGACAGACACAAGTATATGAATATCCCACCCTGTTCAATACCCAAGTATTGAGATAACTGCATGGGAATGTGCTAATGTGCTACAGGGAAGGTACAGCAATAAAATGTGAAGCCCTATGGTCAAACTGCTTGTTTCAGAGCCCCTCTCAAAACCTGGTGTTGAACTTGCCAGTCACAGAAAGCACTTTTGTAGGGCAATATAAATACTAGGATTACATTACAATGTCATTAAGCAGTTTGCATTAAAGGAACAAATTACTCTTTAATGCAGAAGATTTCGTAATGAAATACTTGCAGTTGGAGAGTATGCAAATATTGTGTGCTATACTGATTACCTGGTAGTTACATGATTCATTCAGGCAGGCAGCCCAAGTTCAATGCTTAACAGTTCAAAGTAATGTTAATTTTCACTCTCCTGTATGTTCTGATATGTAGTTACAGCAAAGAACCTTGTATTATCAAATCTGCCTGTGACATCTTGTGGGAAGAGCTGTCCCACTGCCAGGGAAAGGTTAATTAGAGCACTGTTAACTACAACCTGAATACCCTCTGGAGGTTAATGAAGTCTTAAGTCTTTCTGTCATTACTTTAGTTGTGTCAGTGTCACCTACCAGGAAATAAGAGAGTCTTGAAAAATCCCACTGGCATGGGAAACTGCCACAAGAATTTACATATCTGAACTGTGACACTGAACAGTATTTAACTAAAACAGTTGCTTTGAACGACTTCAAGCACAAGTGATTCAGTCCCTCTTTCACCATCCATGACTTTAACTGCTCTGGGCTTTGTGTGCACACCAGGATTTTCCTTGGCCATTGCAGCTACAAAGCCTTGAGGGGAAACATCTCCAACCCCTGGAGCACAGGTGGACTTGCAGACAGGAGAAATACCAGCAGCACATTGTGGATTAGCAGTGAGGTTTTAGTACTAACTGGCAGTGGAGCAACCTGGGCAGAAATGGGTTCTCTAAAACCCTGCCCTGAATTTCAGGCCATACCTAATGCATCAGTCTAGTCTGCCCCTCTGCAGGTGACCAACAGCCTCCCTGCCCATGTCTGTAAAGGTGATATGCAGTCATGGGTGTTGTTAGGTGGGCAGCAACAGTGCCCTAAAATCCCAGATTTCTGTGCCAAACAGATATGCACCAAGGCATATTTGAACCAAGGGGTTTCACTAGTACTTTCATGAAGGTGTGGATAAAACAAAATAGACAGCAATTTGCTGAGGCTAAAAAGATGCCTGAATTTTTTCCTTGATACATGAGGATCACAGAACTAAAAGCAGCTGCCAGAGAAAATAGCTCAGATTGGTAGCCTGAAAAGGATTTAGAACTGTGGACAGTAACTCATGCAATTAGATTTCTGCTGTGTTTGGGCACACATTAACACAAGTGGATTTTATACAACAGCATCAGACAATGGATAGCAAACATAAACACATACTGATGCCTGCACAACTTTCTTATTCCTGTATTAAGCAACCTCCAAGATGCCATCAATTGGGTCAAAGAAGGAAACTGTTTTTAGCAAACCCAGTCCTGAGCAAGAGTCCTGCACAAGCAATGCACATCATCAGCAAAGCCTCATGATGACTGCCATGGGCATTTATTCCATAGGTTTCATCCAGCCCCTCAGAAAGCCACATTCAACATCCACCACTTCCACCTGCCTTCCAGCTGACTTTGAAGAATGCTCATAAATTGACTGAGATATTTTAATGGGTATTTCACATGAGTTTGGGCTTTGAATAGCTCCTTAGGACAATAAATTAACTCTACTGCAGACACTAATGGAGAAAGCTTCTTCTAGTGACAATGATCTCTTGTGGTTCTCAAAAATAATGAATTTGCTCATGTCAAAACAGAAACTTCCAGAGAGCAGACTGTTTTCAGACTATCATGCTAAGAACCTTATTAGTATTGGTAGAAACGAGAAATATTACTAGAAAATCTATGCCTACAGCTTAGCTTTCCTCACATATCTGAAGATAAAGAGGAGACCAAAAGAACAGAAACAAAAAAGAACAAAGGGGACAACTGGAGACACAACAGTAACTAGAGGAAAAAGAAAAGGTATAAAAAAAACACCTACCAGCAACAGCCTTGGCCAGAACAGAAGAAATGTCAGCCCTAAAGGCATGGATGGTACTGGTACTGCTTGGTTACTACTCTTTTGAAGACACTTAATTTTTACTGTGAGTACTATTAGGATCAAAGTCAGGGCAGAGCAAAGAATGGATTGACCTTTTAGCCTCCTGCTCTCCTATTCCTCCTCTTCCTGCTTTGTTCAAAATACTGCTTCCTTCCACTTTGAGCTCCCATTTCCCCACACTGTGTGGCAGATTCATCCTTCTCACCAAATTCTTTTTTTCCCCTTCCTTTTCACACTAAGCATTAATATTCTCTAACAGAACACAATTTGAAGTGGAGCTGAGGAAAACAGAGGTTAATTTTTCAGTTCAGATGCAATTTCAAATCTATTTGAACTCACAACAAAAACAAAGAAACTGTAAGAATGACATTACAAATCTTTTTTCAATTAATTGGTCAAAACAGTTTTGTCTCAATTTAAAAAAATGAAAAAAGAAAGAACTCTGAAAAGAATAAAAATGTCAACACCAGCAGGACACTAAAAGAACAAGAAACATACCTCCTCCACATCGTTGTCCAACACCACAATCTGTAGGGGAGAAGTGAGATTCCGGTTGTCTGAGATGGTTGTTCCCACTGGGGAGGATTCCAGGATGAAGCCCTCGTAGGTGGCTCTTGTGAAGAAAGGTTTCTGATTGTTCTCATCCAGGATTTCAATATGCAGGTTGGCAAAGGCAGGAAGAGGGTGGCCGTTGTCCTGTTCAGCCTGAAAAAACACCTTGTTTGTCACAGGCTCTCAGCCAAGTCAAACTACAAACAGTTACTAACTGGTGTGGGCTTGTATTGAAGGATTACAACCCAGTTATAAAAAACAAATAATAATGTAATAATAATCACCTTACTATGAAACTTGGAATCAGGAAAAAAAGAGATACAAAAAAGAATCAGGTAGGATATATGGGCATGAAGATTTTCAGTCACAATAACCTTTTGAGGAGCCCCAGCGAAACTCCGAACTATCCAGCACACACACACAAACATAGCTCCTCCAACTACCAATATTGAGAGCTTTGGAAAATCTTTGAAGGATGAAAGGAAACCGGAAACTGCTGATTGTACAGCAGAACCTACACCCACCCCAGCAAGAGAGCCAACACCAAAACATTATGATGGTACACATGGACTTGCTGCAGATTAGTGGAAGAGCACTTGTCCTGAATATGACTCCTTCTTCCTCTCTCCCAAGTACCATCTTTCTTGTGTTTGATGAGTGGGACTTTAGTTTAGCCTATTTTTGATATCCAGCAAAATTCTTTACATCAGTCAATAACCCCCACTTTTCCATGGCAATGCCTCACCTACCAAGATTCACTCACAGTGTCTCCTGATTTATTCTTGTTTTCAAACTTCCCAAACAGAAAAGCACTAACTGCCTGTTCCAGTGTGCAAACCTAATATAAATGTATGATGTTGCTTTCTTTTTTAAAAAAAAACAACACTATTTATTCCTAATTAAATAAGAGAAGTAAAAGACAATTGTTTTCTTTTGCTTGTAAAGAGCAAACCAGTTTTAATACAGTCCTGCACGTGTGCCTGCAGCAAGGCAAGAGTAGGGTACTATTGGGCAGCCTCCTGCTCCTGTGGCTTCTGTGCCAAAATCTGTAAGCACACAGCCCCTCAGACTGTGCCAGCAGTGCTCTGGTACCTCTCAGCAGGCATGGGAAATGTACTGTGCAATAAACTTCTCAGGCATTAAAACATTTCAGAAGAGAGAGAGCAGTACCTAAATTATTGTTGTTAACAGTACTTGTTGCTTACAGAGATTTTCTTTAATTCTGGTATGTCCCCTGTTTCTAACCAGATAATTTATCATTTTTCAAATCCAAAAATCCAGACAGATGCCCTTTTGAATTCATGAACTTGCTACATTTTCTTCTTTAGATGCTTGGGTGTTTTGGTTTGGGTTTTTTTAGGTTTTGTTTGGCAGGTGTGTGTTTGAGTTTTTGTGTACAAAGTATTAATTCTGTACAAGGGTTTGCTTTGTTTACCAAGAGACAAGAGTATGCTGCTGCTGCTGATAAATATTTCAAGTATAAAGAAGTATCAACATAAAAATGGTTATTTTTGTTCAAAGTAGGTGATTATACCTGTAGTAATTCTTAAGAAACATATTGAAAACACTCAGGTTTTAGCAAAATGTATTTTCCTCTCTAATATACACCATGATTACTAGTGACCAAGAGATGGGCAACACTGACACTGGCACAGATTTAAAAGCAACCACCAACCTGTTGGCTGTTTTCTGACTCCTGAGGTCAGATCTGGCATGTGTTTTTATGTAAGCAGCTGAAATTAATAGGGCTTTTCCTAGGAGATTAGTTTTTTGTTAATGAGACAAAACTCTCTTGAAGGAACTGAGAGTTCTGCTAGTTCAGTCACTGGCACATTACGGATTTCAGCAACCAGGGTGCAGGAAGCAACATACTTAACCACTGCTGGTCTTACACACATCTAGGACACAGGATACTACCAGTGATCAAACCCTTTATTGCCTCACATAAATCCTATCACAGTAAGTACATTTTTTTTTCAGCCAGGTTCAATTACTCTTACTCAAATAAAGGTATTTAAAAATCCAGTGTAGCAGTAGCTGGTGAGAGCACTGGAGACCAGACAAGTGACTCCCAAATATAATTTGCAAAACTGAGGGTTATCCTGGAGTCCTTGTTCTGCTGGATGAAAATGAACTTCACATGTAAAAACTGATGTCACCAAAATTACTTGGAAGTACTCTGTGTCCTGACACAGCAGGATGAAACTCCAAAAATGTCCTGATATGGAGAGTCTTTGCCTAAGGCTAATATACCAAAAGCATGGGGGGAAAAAAGTGTGATGAGGAGTTGCTAAAAAAGGAAAATGCAAATAACAGAGGCTGCCAATCTTCTGCAAAAGGGCTGCACTGAAGCCTTGCTTTAAAGCCAAATGAGCACAGCTCCATCCTGGGTTACAACAGGGAATATTCCCCTGTGCAGGGTGTTTGCTACATCAGCACCACAGTACTTCTAAAGCTGAAGACAGTTCTCTAAATTACAGATGGTCAAACACAAAGAAAGAAGTGTGCTCCTAAGGCTGGACTTTACATGTTAGGCCCTAGAGACCAAAATGACAAGGAAGAGGATTCTTTCCTCAGCGGGCACTTCAACTCAAAGTCACCTGAGCTTTGCAGGTGCTTTCCTTCAGTTTGGGTACAGTGGTCAAAATAATTCCCTTTGGCCGGTCCATCTGAGAATTTGGCAGAATTAGGCAGCTAATCCTTCATGAAGTCACAGTTGCTTCTCAACCACTTGTTGCCAGCAGCAAGTGTTCCTTGCAGCACCAGGACACATCTCAACAAGTGCTCAGCAGAAAGGCTACCATGTGAAAGCCACCACATCCATCTCCCCTCTGCTGCCATCTGATGAAGTTTGGTTTCTAAACACACCCGTATTTAGGAAAAAAGCCAAGCTTTGGAAACCACCAATGAAAGTGCTTCACAGACTCATAGAATCATTCTGGTTGTTAGAAACCTCTAAGCTCATTGAACCACTGCCTTTCCAGAACTGCCACTGCATCCCCAATATTTATGTGCAGCAAATGAAAAACCAGAATTCCATCTGAAGAAGATTCACAATATATCCAAAAATGGACCTTTTCTGATGGCTTTTCTGAGAGGTACCCGAGCTTCTTTTGTTCTTTTGCTGTTGGAAGTTACAGTGGGTTTAGAATGGATGCATCCACCTAAGCATGCTATGAAAACTTTACTGCCCGAATATATCAACCTAAAAAGGGCAGAGAAAACCTCAAGTGGGCTACTAGAACAGAGGGCAAGGAGAGAGCCACTGCCTGGCTGACAACAACCTCTGTGCATCCTCTAAGTCATGTCATTTTTTTGGTCTTGTTCCCTTTCCACAAACATCCCAGCAAGAACCATAAATTTTACAAATCCTGTTGTTGTAATTGCTTCCAGTCTTCCCCTCATCTCCTTTCTGAAGGCCACCAAAACCTGTCCTTCCCCTGCCATGGATTTCACCCTAGCTTTTCAAGAGATACAGTCAAAGAAGTATGAAAAAGCCTCTGGCATTTGATGGGTCACTGAAGGAGCTGCAGTACTGGAGAACTACAGGCAGGTTGCTTCAGATGTTCTATTTAATGCAAGAACAAGGAAAAGAGCTGAGGAACTTCAGACACTCAAACTTAACTTCCAGCTGTGAAGAAGACAGGATCATTATAGAGTATTTAAACCAATGTAATTATAAAAAGGAACAGTCCTCACAGATACAGAGAAGGAAGGTCAGGTGTGACAAAGCTGCTTCTTTTAAGTCCCTAACAGAATTGGGAGGTAAAGGTGAAACTAGAGACATAATTTATCTAGATTTAGGGTAAGCTTTAGGTTGTATATCACACACTGGATTAATTTACAAGGTCAGAAAGTACAGCATAAGGAAAGAACTACTGAAACAGACAAAATATTGGCTTAAGGACAAGAAGAACAGAATACCTTTTAGAACAGTGAAGAAATTTGACTTTACTGTCAATGAAGCTTGTGATGTGGCAGTGAAATGAAATTGGCACAAAATGTGTCTAGACACTATGCTAAAAAAAAAGCATCAGTGAGGCTTATGATACTGTGGTGCAATGAACAGTTATACTCAGAGCTGCCCACCTTTCCAAATCATGAATTGCTTTCTTCTTCCCTTCACGTAAAGGAAAAGCTAACTAATCAAGTCACTATGCTCACTTTTAAGTGATAGATGCTGAAGTTTTAAATGAAAATAATGTGTATTTACTGCACAAAGGAAATGTAGCTATTTCTGTAAATAGAATAGACACAATAGAATTTATGGATTTCATTATTTTCATTGCTTCAAGTGATGACACAATTTAGAGTCAATCTTAAATCACAATCAACTGGTATTCCTAGCATGTGTCTGTGACAGTGCTCTAAAGGCAAAGAAAAACATTTACCATAATGAGATGCTGCTAAAAATGAGGAAAACTTTCTACTTTCAACGTTCATGTGATAACCTGGGAGAGAGACTGATAAGAAGAAACATTTCATTGATGTAGAGGAAGGGGTTTGATTTTCCTGCATCCTTTTTTCTCTCCGTATTCACACGGGAAAGCATCACCTGAAGAAGAACAGAAATTTCCAGACTATTTAGACTACGTAGGCTTTTGTGACAGTGATAAGCCAGGAGAAGTAATTGAATACTGAGTTCATGTGAGGGATAAACATTTGAAAAGCCAATATAAAAAGCAGTTATTGTACTTAACACCATCCAGAGACACAGAGTAGTTCAACCAAACTAAGGATTTTGAAGATTTCATCATTGTCAAGAAGGATTGAGCAACTATTCGAGCAACTGTTTAACACATTTCTTCCATTCTAATCTGTCACCCCAAGTACAAAACCACTCTCATTTGTTCTGTTCATGTTCTACTTTGAGGCACAGCAATCACCTTTTTTCCCATTACTGCTAATACATCTCAACTGTTGTGCAAGATCATCAGAGGAGACCATCTTCAGTTGCATTTCAAAAGAGAGAGGAAGGAACGAGGCAGTTTAAGAACAAGTGGAAAGTATTTTTGAAAGATTTTGTCTTGCGGTTTATATTCTGCACTTCGTACTCAGAGAAATCTGAGAGAAAGCACCATGCTCAGAAAGATGAGATTTCTAACACACAGGTTGCTTTCCAGAGACCTACTCTATAGCAAACACTGTGAAGT